GAGTAACCTTAAGAGCCAGATCAGACAAGACAATCACTAAAGACAAATGACAGGTAACTTCATTCATAAACACATTCAAGAATACTGGATAGATTCCAGTAGCTCATAAGAAGACAATCCATCAATTTGGATTTACCTCAGGAAAAAATGTAAGAGAGAATTAAGAATTTTAAAATGTATATATTGGAATCCATTACATATAACAGATTAAAGGAGAAAAACCACAAGATATTCTCAACAGACACAGAAAAGCATGTGACAAAATTGCAAACAAAGACTTCCTAACTTAATAGAGAATATTTACAGAAACTCATAACAAACATGATTTTTAATGGGGAAACATCCCCTTTAAAATCCAGATGTCCACTATAATCACTTCTAGTGAACACACTTCCATTGAAAATACATCTAAAAGTGTGCCAGAATATTAGGACAAGAAAAAAATTAAAAGGAAAAATAATTAGAAAGAAAAAACCAAAAGTGTCACTATTTGCAAATGATATTATTATCCACATAGAAAACCCAAAAGAATTACAGAAAATATATTAGAAATAATAGGAGTTTATCAAGTGGATGGCTAAAGATCAATGGAAAAAATCCATTAAATTTCTGTTTATTAACGATAAACAGTCAGAAAATAGAATCTCAAAATAACACCATTTATAACAGCAAGAAAACATCAGGATCGACATTTAAAAAGTGTTAGATCTGTATGAAGAAAACTACAAAACTATATTAAAAGACATTAAAAACCTAAATAAATGGAAATACATACCATGTTCTCAGACAGGAAGACTCAAAATCTTAAAGATTTCACTTCTCCCTCAAATTGATTCAATCAATTCCAATTAATTCTCAAAGAGTTTTTCATTTCAGGTGACAAGCTGATTGTTAAAGCAAGAACAAAGGTCCAAGAACAGCTGAGACTCAAGTCCTCCCCAGATATCAAGATTTCTGGTAAAGCTATAGCATTAATGATTACAACAGTGTGGTATCAACACAGAGACAGACAAGCGAACAAGTGGCACAGAAAGATGAGCCAGAAACACAACCATGCATACAGAAACTAAACATGTCAAAGAGGTGGTTCAGCAGATTGCTGGTGAACAGAGGGCCAATTCAACACACCACAAATATGGGGACAACTGTCATCACATGGGGGGAAAAATGAAGGCAGATCCCTATCTCACACTGCACACAAAAATCAATACCAAATGGGTTATGAATGTAAATGTGAAAGGCATCATTTTAAATCTTCTCAGAAGAAACAGAGGAGAATGTCTTTATAACCCCAGAGCAGAAACTTCCAATTAGATTACATTAAAATTAAGAACTCTGTTCACCAAATACACCATAAAGCGTGAAAAGACAGGCCACAACTGGAGGAAGATATTTACAATGCATATAATCAATAAAGCATTGGTGTTACCAGTTTACTAGTTTTAAAAGACAATCAACAGAAAAATGGGTAAAAAATATGACCAGATATTTCACAAAAGGGAAACAGATGGTTCATAAACATATAAAAAGATGCTGAAACTCATTAACAATCAAAGAAATGCAAATTAAAACCACAATGACACATTATTTTGTACCCTTCCGATTGGCAGATATTAAGAAGTCTAACAGTAATAAGTGTTGCAGAGGATACAGATCAACTATAACTCTTATAGACTGCTGATCAAAGTATTGACAAACCTGCTAGCCAAAGCAGAAGCTGGTACAACCACTTGGAAAAACAATTTGATATAATTTTGTAAAGTTAAACATTCACACCCCATAACCCAGAAGTTCTACTTCTAGCAAAAAGCTTACCACAGTGGAATTCCAACCTTTTTTTTTTTTAACTCGAAAACCACCAAAAACGCTTTTAAAAATGACATACTCTTCACACTTTAAGATAACATCTAAAAAATTTCAGCCTAAGTTTAAATAGTTACAAAGGATGAATTTCTGGAGTATCACAGTAACATTTTAAAATAAAACTGACATCATTGGTTTAAACTGTCATTATTATAGCAGAGTTGATCAAAAGATAACTATATATACTGGTAATTAAAATAAAAACGAACTTTTATTGGAAATGCAGCTCTTGAAGAGATAACAAGTACCTGGATTAAAAGAGGTTTTCCTATCACTATACACTGTATTTTAAATTATCCCTTATGTTGTCCTTGGAGAGTTTTTCCACTTGGGGCATTGCCCTTGTAAAATTCCATGTGGGTGAGTGGCATGCCCTTCTTATCTAAGGTGGAAGAGATCCTGTGAAAGGGAAGGTGGGAAAGTAGAACCAGTAGAAAGACTCTGTCATACGCCTCAGGCATTACCAATTTTAGGAGAGCGTACACATGGAATTTAACGATCTATAAATTGATTCATTAACATCACCTGTGCCCAAGTACGCCTTAGAAAACCTCCAAGACTCCTCCATGGTTCATACACCCCAGTGTGAATATTAGAGAAATTCTTGCAACTGTGTACCAGAAAATACGTACAAGCATCTTCAAAATAGCAAAACCTAGAAATGACCAAAATATCCATCAACAGAAAAATGCATACACTGTGTTATATTCACCCACGGAATACTACACAGCAGTGAAAATTAATGACTTACATCTATACTCAATTACAGTGATGCAGAAACATAACATTGAGAGAAATAAGCAAGCCCCAGAAAACTGTATCCTGTATTCCTTTTTTTAAAGACCCAAAAACAACAGAAACCATACAATACATTGTTAAGGGATGCATACACACCCGATAAAATTATTGTTAAAAAGCAAAGAATGACAGACACAATTCAGGATAGTCACTCTGGAGGTGAGCACATTCAATATTGGTCATTTGGATTCTCAAGGATTAAGTGGTGGATAGATAAGTTTTCATTTTATTGTTTTGCTTCACAACTTGCTTATATGTTACATTTATTTTGAACATACCAAATATTACATTAAAGAAAAAAAACGATTTTAAAAAACCATTCATCATATGAAAAAAGTACGTAATTAAATCTCTTCACCTGCAGCTAGAGAGGTACATATAACATACCATGGAAATTACTATCTTTACACCAACCATAGGAACTGACATACCTTAGGTACAAAACAATTGTTTATTGGAATTAATCTTACGAGGACCAAATGAGATAAAGACAGAGCCAGTTAGCCATGAGAGATGAACCCACAGGCTGACACAGGGTTAGCACAGAAGCCAAAGTGGCTGCAAGCAAATTTAGCCACAAGCTAAAGTTATAAGGAAGCTGGTCAGTGGAGAGACAACAAACATGTAAAAGTCTGATAGCAAAATGTTAGCAAGGATGTGAGGAAACGGTGTCCTCACTCCATACCAATGAGAGTGAAAATTGGTACAACCACCTGGAGAGCTTCTGTGATATTTGGTCAAGTTGAAGATGCACTTATCATACTATGCAGCAATTCATCTACTAGGTGTATTTCCTAGAGAAACTTCCAAATGTGTGCACAAGCAAACAAGTACAAAGACGTTTATTGCAGGATTGTTCTTAGAGTGAAAAACCAAAAAACAACTTCAAAGTCCATCAATAAGGAAATGGATAAATTTTGGTATATTCATACAATGGAATTCTATACCAGCAATAAAAATGAACGAACCAATGATAACACCATTATCGAAATTTATTCATATATAAATCTCAAAAATGTGATGCTGATCGAAAAAGGCAAGCGGCAAAAAGACACATATCATTTAATACCATTAAAGTTTAAAACACACAACACTAGATATTGTTTATGGATTCACTGTAATCCAAGTATAAAATATGCAAGAGAATGACAGACACAAACCTGAATACGGTGGCTACCTCTAGAGAAGGAGGGGGAGGAACTGAGAGCACCTCCAATATCTTCAATTTTATCTCATTAAAAAAACAGAGGTTCCGAAGTAAATTTGGCAAAATAATTACATCTGTAAATCTGAGTCATGGGTTGGTTAGATCCCCCTCTGTATCTTATATGTGAAATATTCCAAAAATTAAAAAGGAAAATTAGGCAAGAGTAAGAAAAGAGAGCAAATGAACAGAGACAAGACACCAAAACGCAGGCCTTGAGCGCAGAGCACGAACCTTTGAGCAAGAGCAGCAGCAGTTGGGTCCCTAAAGGGTTTGAAATTTCTCTCTTTGCATCCTTATAAGAAATTCCATTTCCCTTAGGAAAAAACGCAAATTTCCTGCAATAAAAAAAGCCCTAACTAGAGCTCAACTATGAGGAAACTATTCCCAGGGGAGAAGTAAAATCTCCAAAATGTCTACCTTGCTTCCCGCCAGGATGTAGGGCAGAATCAAAAGAAATAATTTATGTGAACGCCATAAAACACCATATATATTAAGCATTATCACGAACGCCCAGGGTCGGCTAGAATGTATTCGCCCAATTGGCGTGTGCATGTATTTTTAGGAGTTCTGCAGTGGAAGGGTTTTGGGCATCTAGGGCGCCTCTGGAAAAGGCACGCCGCACTGGTACCTACGCCTTGGCTCCATTTTTGGCCTTGTCCCCTCCCTTATTCCGGCCCCAGAAGAGGCTGGCTCGACAAGCCACACCTGACACCGTAAACACTGCGGAGCAGCTGGCCAGACCCGCGGCTGTCCCCGGGTCCTGAAGCGTCGGGGGAGGGAGGATGCTCCGAAGGGGCGCAGGGGAGGGGGGAGCGCTGGGTTGATTTCCCCCCCTCCTTGGGGAGCCGCCGGCCCCGACTCGGCTGCCACGCTCACCAAAACAGGTGGCGCAGACATAGGAAACACAAGACACAGAGGACCGGGCGCGCACGAACATTCACGAACACTCGCGAACGAAAACCCGCACCACCGAGATCACGCACTCCACAAGACCCAAGCGCGGCAGGCGCGCGGGGACACGCGAGGACGCACACCGGGGCGGCGATGCTCCAGGCGGGGGTCACGACTGCAGGAGGCGCGGCCACGCGCGCGGGGGACGCACACTCCCCCGAAGGGGCAGTGACACAAAGGGGGGGCCACCCACGCAGCCTGGGGCGCCCACGCCGCCGCCGGGAAGAACCGGCGCAGACAAAAAGGGGCCAGGAGAGGACACACGGGCTGGGGGACCTCACGCCTAGCATGGGCGTCACGTCGCTCGGACCCGGGAGAAGATGCGCGGGCGGCAGGGAGATGCGCACACAAAGGGGCCACATCCACCGTCGCCCGCACAGACGCCCGGAGGGGCCCAGGCTTGCAGAACGGGGACCCCAGTCAAAGAGGACACACCCACTGGGGCAGACAAAGGCGGCCACACCCCCAGCGCACCGGCAGCCCGACCCACGCAGACACACCGCGGGCACCACAGCGAGCGACGCGGGGCGACGCACACACACCCACACTCACCACACACCCACGGAGGGGGTGTGGAGGGCCCCGCTCCCCGGGCATCTCGGCTGCAGCGCGACAAGGAGACACATCCGGGAGCCCTGCCGCGCGCCAGGTGTGCACTCACCGGGGCCCGCCGCCCGCGAGCCTCGGACGCGGCCAGCCGCCGCCGCCTCAGGCCCTCCACGTCAGACAGACGGCGGCCGGGAGCGGGCGGCGGCGCGGGCGGCCGGCGCGTCACGTGGGCTGGCGCGCATGCGCGGTGGCGCCGCCCCGCCCACCTCCGCGGCGGCGAGCTGAGCGATCCCGCGGGGACCCCGCGCTCGCGCGCTCCGGTCCGACGAGAGGCGCGGTGCGCCTGCGCTTGGGTGGGTGGGTGCCTTCGCTACTCGGACTTTCCATCGGTTTTTTTTTGTCCCTCGCCCCCCTGCGGCTCGCCCCTTGGCACTTGCGCAGAGGACTCAGCGCGGAGGTGGCAGAGCGGGCGGAAGGGGCCCCACTGGGCGCATGAAGGACACAAGGTCGAGGGTCTCCTATCCTCCCTCTAATGGGAAACAGAAGCCCCCACGAGAGGGCAGGGTCGGGTCCCCGGCGTCGCAGCCCAGGCCGGGATAGGCCGCGCCAGCCTCCGCCCTGCCCTTCCCTTCCCGAAGGGAGGCGAAGCTTGCGGGGCAGGAGCGGCGTCTGTCCCTCCGTTGCTCTCCCCTGCCGTCCCCTCCCCTCCGCTGCAGGGTGCTCGCTCCGCCCTGTGTGCCCCTGTGCGCGCGCAGGGGGGTTTGCGCGTGCACGCGAGGCGTGGGGTCTGGTGGGCAAGTGGGGGTGTGTCAGAGGTGTGTGCGCAGGATGGCAGTTTGCAGTGCTTTAGTCCGGGAAGAACACTGCAGGGGCTGTGCCCATGGCAGAGCGATGAGGTTAAGACAGACCAATGGTGACGGGGAGGAAATCACTCACGGGCCATTGTGTTTCTTTTCCACAGATTGTCTAAAGCCACCGGGAAAATGGTGGAAAATTCACCGTCGCCATTGCCAGAAAGAGCGATTTATGGCTTTGTCCTTTTCTTAAGCTCCCAGTTTGGCTTCAGTAAGTACTTTGCTGAGAGATGGCCAGGGCCTTTTCCTGGTGTTCCAGGACAAGGAAATTACTGCGTTTGTTGTCAGAACGTGCGCACATGAACTGTGGTTCTTTCTACCTATGTCTCTTTTTAAGAAGACCTGAAGGGAACCTAGGTTTGTTCGGAGGTTTTTATGTGCCAGACACTAGCCTAAAAGATTCAGTCTCAACAGAATATTTATACAGCAGCAGAGAGGATTGCAAAGTGAATAAAACCTGGTCCCTGTGGTCATGGTCTTGTGGGCAAGACCGACAAGTAAATCTGCGATTAACACTCAGTGTGATAAGTGCCATGGGAGCCCAGGGGAGAGACGTGAAATCAAACTGGGAAATCAGAGACAGCTTTTTCCCCCAACGGTAAGAAGTGGGGAGGCCTTGAATGAGGGGTTTGGATGTGAGTAAGTTGGTGTGGCTCCAGTGCAGCCTGTAGGAGCTGGAGAGTAAAGGGATTTAGGCTGGAGAAGTCAGGTGCCCTATACATCCCAGATCTTGCTCGGTCTCCATAAGATCCCATTTTACAGATGAGGCAACTGATGCTCACTGAGACACTAAGATGCCCAAAGACAAACAGCAGGCCCCACGTCTCTGCTGAAAGGGATTTGAGAATTAGGAGGGAAACAAAAGGGAGAATATTAGGTGCCCACCATCCAACTTTGTGGAATTTTGTGGAAACTGGGGAGGTGGGGGAGTGGGAGTGCTTCTGAACCCTAAGTGCATCAGTATAGCCAACCAAGCTGTTGGCTAGGGGAGTCTATGGAGTGAAGAAGTTATAGCTTGAGTTCAAATCCTGACTCCCCCACAGATTCCCTCTGTGATCTGGGACCATTTACTTAACCTCTTGGAGCCTTCAGGTTCTTCATCTGTAAAAGGGTGGTGATGATGTTTATTGAATGCTTATTATGCATAAGACAGTCTTGTAGGGTAGATAGTCTTATTTTTGTCCCCATTTTACAGATGACAATACTGAGGTACACAGGGTTTAAGGAACGTGTCCAAGGTCACACAGCCAGTAAGTGATGGAGCTAGAATTTGAACCCAGACAGTGGGTTGACTTCGCTCTGCTGCCTCTTATGACTGTTGTGAGGATTAATTGGAGTAATTTATGCAAAGCCCTGAAAACAATGCATGGGAACAATAGTACTTAATAAGTGTTAGCTGCTGTTATTGTTATCATCAACATCACCATTTTTGTCAACCCTTGTTTTAGAGAGTATGAAGGATTAGAAACTGTACAAATAAATCAAAGTAATGACTTTAAGACTTAAATCCAGTAATACCCACAGCCGAAACTTAATTCAACAAATTTTTTAGTGCTCACCACATGCCAGGCACTGGGAGAGGCAAAGGAGGAGCAAAATAGCCCAAAATTTCCTGCTTTCATAGAGTTTCCATTCTCATGGGGGGAGCTAGCCAATGGACAAGTTAAATATGTCACACATATACAATGTGAGATGATAACATGTACCATGGGAGAAATTAAGCAAGAATGGAGAATAAGGAGTGGGAAGAGGTTGCTGTTTTAAATACAGCGGTCTGGAATTTCCAGTGCCTCGCTGAGAGGTGAGATTTGAGCACAGACGTGAAAAGTGCAAGTTAGCCATATGGTGATCTGGGAAAAGAGCCTCCCAGACAGAGATAGCCAGTACAGAAGCCGTTAGGAAGAAGCATGCCTGTAGGTTCAAGAAACAGGTGGATGTCAGTAAGGTTGAAGCCTGAGAAAGTGAGGCAGAAAGTAATAGGAGGGAGGAGGTCAGAGGCCAGTACCCAACAGTTATGATAAAACTAGTGGTGGGTGCAGGGGGCTTACATGACTCCCTCTTTACATTGAAATATTTACTGAATTAAAAGCAAGGTAATTATCTTAGTCTGCTCAGGCTGCAATAACAAAATACCATAGACTGGGTGGCTTATACAATATAGATTTATTTCTCACGGTTCTGGAAGCTGGGAAGTGGAAGATGAGAGTGCCAGCATGATGGGGTTCTTGGTGAAGGCCCTCTTCTGGCTTGTAGACAGCCAGCTTCTTGCTGCGTTCTCCCATAGTGGGGAGAGAGTGTGAGCAAGCTCTGGTCTCTTCCTTTTCTTGTAAGGATACTGATCCCATCATGGGGGCCCCACCTTCATGACCTCTTCTAAACCTAACTACCTCCCAAAGGCCCCAACTCCAAATAGCATCAATTAGGGCTTCAACATATGAATTTGAGGGGGACACAAACATGCTGTCCATAACAGGAATTGCAGATTGTGAAAATAGCTTTGAAGAACATAAAGGGAAATGATTGGGAGTAATGAGGGTGCGGTGGGTGGGATACAGCCGTAATAGCAAGTGATGGGGAAAGCCTCTTTTAAGGAGGTGACGTCTGAGCTAAGACATGAAGGAAGAGAAGGAAGCATCCATTGAAAGAGCCAAGGAAAGAACATTCCAGGCAGACAGAGCTCACTACAAGTGCAGTGGCCCTGAGACAGTGTGGCTGGACTGGAGTGTAGTGCCTGAGAACACTGGAGAGCTAGGCAGGAGCCACATCATTTAAGTCCTGGCCATCCCTGGGTACGGAGTTTGGATTTTATTCCCAGGGCACTGAAGGATTTAAACAGACAAGTGTTATGGTCAAATTTATATTTTTGGAAGGTCACTCAATACTCTGTGGAGAATGACTGCTCAATTGTTTTCTTTCTTCAGGGTTGAAATTACTAGACACTCACTCTGAGAACTCCCATAACTCATTCATCTGCTCTTGCCACCGAATCTCTTGGGGCTTCTTACTGCCTTGGCTAACCTCCTACTCATCCTTTAGGCCCCAGTTTTCCTCCAGGAAATCTTTCCTGACCATTAACATTGCCTCCATCACCAGCAGTGGTGCTCCTATATCATCTTTTGTTAGTCACTCATTAGCACTTCTCCTAGTGTACTGAAAATAGCAATCTACTCCTCTCTCTTCCTCACAAGATTTTAAGCTCAGGAATGGCAGAAGCCAGCTCTTTTGGACTCACTATTGTATCTCATGCTTCTGACATATAGAATTCTGTAATACATATGTGTTGAGAAAAATGTTAATCCTTCATCATCATCGATATAGGTAGTTTGAAATTTGTGTCTGCCACTTACCCGTGGCAGATATTTCTAAGAGTCCATTTCCTCCTCTGTAAAAATGACATAATACTTCATAGGATTGTTTTGAGGATTAAATGAAATAATGCATGTAAAATGCTTGGAAGTGTGCTTACCCCACAGTGAGCGGTCAGAGGTTAGCTGTTTTTACCACGTAGGGACAACAGTAAAGGATGCCCCAGAAAGTTGGATTGAAGGAAATAAGATTGTGCTCTGGGAGATAAGGCGGCAGCCCAACATGTGGATCAGGACAAGACTATAAGCAACTAAATGTCTGTAATTATTTCAACCCTGTGGGATGAAGCATTAAATTCCTTGTATGCATAAAGAAAATTGCTTGGTGCTATCAGGATTACAATTGCTAAGGCACAATTTCTGCCTTTCAGTTGCTTAAAATCCAGTGTGAGTTAAAACTTGTTTTAAAAAATGACTAATGGAGGAAAAGGGGAGTTGCTGTTTAATGGATATGGAGTTTCAGATTTGCAAGATGAAAAAATCCTGAAGATTTGTGTCACAGCAGTGCAAATATACTTAATACGACTGAACTGTACACTTAAAAAAGGTTAAATTTTATATTTTTTAACCACAATAAAGAGATTACTAATATAAAATAATTATAATAAGTATTGCAAGGATGATAGAAATAAGGAGCTAGAAGAACTGAAAGGAGGGAAAAATCACTTCTGAGAGAAGCAGGGAAGCTCCAGAGGACCCTTTCTGTTTTATCTGAGCCTTCCTAGATGAGATGCATGCCTTACTGACTTTTTTCTTTTTTTCTTTTCCCCTCTTCTATAGTACTATATCTCGTGTGGGCATTTGTTCCTGAATCTTGGCTAAACTCCTTAGGCTTAACCTATTGGCCTCAAAAGTAAGTTGAACGTATTTCTTAAATAAAATAAGAATATATTAATACTGCTTTGAATGATCAGATATTTCCTAAAGACTACCCAAATTTTCAATGTTTATTCTTTTAAGATCCATAAATAACCATTTAGAAATTCAAAGCTTTTTAAAAAATCATTATTGGTGCGCCTCCTAATTAAAGATGGTGGGGTGAACACACATCTTTATCTCCATTTCCTCCCAACATCCTGCTAAAATGATACCGTAGAAAAAAATGTAAGGCGTAAACCCACGGGAACAAATAACGGAAAAGTAGATAAGAAGTATCAACAGCATTTTGGGAAGTGGATTGCAGGCGGGTGAGAGGTGACTGACTTAGTTCCCTCTTCTTCCACATTGCTAAAGGAGGGAAGCCAGCAAGAATGTTTGTGCCCTGGAACTCAGAAAGGCTCAGACACTGGAGGTACAGGCACCTCTTTAACACAGTAGTTCTGGGTTGGGCTGAAAACAGTGCTTAAAGAGCATTAGACCTCCAGTCCCCTTCCTCGGCCCTCAAAACTGAAGACCAACCCTCCCCTAGAAGACAGGAGTGTTGCTCTCTGAAAAGGTTGAATGAGGCTCTGGGCTGGGGACGCTCCGTCGAACTGAATGTGGAGATGAGGCTCCTACTGAAAACAGGAGTAAGTGTGAATCTGCTCAGTGATGGGATTCCCCCCACGCACCTTTCCTCATTGGGATCTCAGGCTTCTGGTTGGCAGGCTTATACCACTCTACTTCTCCCAACAAAGAGGGTAGGGTGCTCCCTGAGGAAGTCACCCAGCTCAGGAGAAAAGATCTCTAATTTCTGACATCTGGACATCCTCCAGTGAATGGCCGGGTCTCCTACGGTGGAGCTCACCAGTTGGCCATCCTGCCCACGTGTACATAATGCTTCCAGTTAGTTTCTTATTACTTCATTTTTAAAATATGAATGGACAGCTGTAACTTACCAGACATTAAAAAAACCCTCTAAAATGGAATATAAAAGAGAAAAGCAAAAAAGGGAACTTGAAGGAAATGAAGATAATGCAAGGAACAGAAGAAAATTTTAAAATAACAAAATGCTCAAAGATAATAAAAGATTATAACTATGAAACAACAGAATGCTATAAAAAGGGGAATGTTCAGGGAATTACTGTATTTGGAAATTATAAATATGATGGCGAAAATTAAAATTTTAATGAAAGGTTAGAAGATAAACTAAAAGGTAATCTCCAGAAAGTAGAACAGAACACAGCAAAGTGGCAAATAGAGAAGAGATGAGGAAAGTATAATGGCAAAAAAGCTATCTCTTGGAAGTTCCGGAAAGAGAAAACAGTAGGGAGGAAATTATTAAGGAAACAATGCACCCGGGAAAACATCCAGGACAGAGCACTTGATGTGCTGAACCGTATTGAGAGGATAGGAGATAGAGTCCTATCAGAGAACTTGAGGATTCAGTATTGATAGGTACATGGGATACCAAGCAAAAAGACAAAAAGATGTAACTACTAAATCCAGGAAAAACAAAATATTGTACAAGGAAACATAATAATAATAATACACTAAGGTGCTCAGTTGCAAACATCATTTATATAGTCACAATAATTTTTTTTTAAAGATTGACACCTGAGCTAATATCTGTTGCCAATCTCTTTTTTTTCTTCTTCTTCTTCTTCTCCCCAAAGCCCCCCAGTACATAGTTGTATATGCTAGTTGTAGGTCCTTCTGGTTGTGCTCTGTGGGACGCCGCCTCAGCATGGCTTGATGCGCGGTGCCATGTCTGCACCCAGGATCCAAACCAGGGAAACCCCGGGCCACCGAAGCTGGAGCGCCATGTCAACCACTTGGCCACGGGAGCGGCCCAATAGTCACAATAATTTTTAAAAACTGCTCATGTGGGGGCTGGCCCAGTGGTGCAGTGGTTGGGTTCACATGTTCCGCTTTGCCAGCCCGGAGTTCACTGGTGTGGATTCCAGGTGTGGACCCACGTACCGCTTGTCAAGCCATGCTGTGGCTGGTGTCCCACATATAAAGTAGAGGAAGATGGGCATGGATGTTAGCTCAGGGATCATCTTCCTCAGCAAAAAGAGGAGGATTGGTGGCAGATTAGCCCAGGGCTAATCTTCCTCAAAAAAACTGCTGACATGATCAGAAATTGTGATGTAAGTATAGTAGGAGGATAGGGAGGAAGGTGAGAGGGCAGGGTGCAAAAGAGCTAATTTCCTCATCTCCGTCTTAGGTAGTCCAGAGAAAATGTCTGAAATTGAAAAAAATCAAGAGATAATAATGAGTACCTTGTGTAGAAATGTGTAAGTAAATACCAGAAGAAACAGCTCAGATGCTAAAAGTGTTCCCTTTTGGAGAGTAAGACTCTGGGGTCAGGATGGGTGTGATTACAGGATTCCAGCTTTTCATTATAGGCCTTGTAGAATTATTTGACTGCCTTTTATATGCATGTATTCCTTCAATAAAAATTAAAATTAAATTTTCACAGTATGTTAACTTGGTGATGGACTCGAGAATTCAGCTCTTTCGGAAGTCTGTTACCTGCTTTAATATTCTCTTCTGCAGATACTGGGCGGTCGCATTGCCTGTCTACCTCCTCATTACTATAGTAATCGGTTATATACTCTTATTTGGAATAAACATGATGAGTACCTCTCCACTCGACTCCATTCATACAATCACAGGTAAATGGTATTAAAGAAACTGCTGGGGGATGGAGGATGGGGTGTCAGTACTTTTATCAAGCAAAACAAGGGCCAGCCCCGTGGCCAAGTAGTTAAGTTCACATGCTGTGCTTCAGCAGCCCAGGGTTTTGCTGGTTTGGATCCTAGGCGTGGACATGGCACCATTCATCAGGCCACGCTGAGGCAGCATCCCATGCGCTACAACTAGAAGGACCCACAACTAATAATATACAACTATGTACTGCGGGGATTTGGGGAGAAAAAGCAGGAAAAAAAAAATCTTATTAAAAAAAAACAGCCAAGAATATGCTGCACTAGGTGACACACACTGGCACAATAAAAAGAACCTAGGAGAAAGAAATACAAAGTTATATCAGAGGAAGTGTTTACATGGCAGAAATAAGTTCTGATGAATATGCTTTTTGCAGCACTAGTTAACAGGTGTATTTTCCCATAAAAACCACAAGCATATAATATGTTCTTCAGCAACTTTGCCTGAGAAAAACTTTTTATCCTAAACAGGCAGTGTTGATCAAGGAATGGCCAATAGGTCCATGCAGAGCTTGTCCAGGAGAGGGATTTCGCGGGGAGGGGAGGTGTCATCCTCAGGGTCACTGTACGCCTGACCCCAATTAAGTGAATAGAAGAGCCACAGCATGTTTTTGTAGTTTTCTATTTTTTAAGTTCTTTTACTTCAAGTCTAAAGATTAAAATAAATTAGATTCCTGAGCTTGCTTAGATTCTAGGAAGCAAAGTACTTTTTAAGTTCCCTGATATGATTTTTTAACTTTTCAAAGCCTCTTTTTGTCAGCCTATACAATGTATTTTGAAAATCAATTATAGTATTTTTATATTTCTTCTCTGATAGCCTTCTGTATTCCCTGCATTCTTGACTGGAATTACAGCAAATAGACAATTTGTGCAAAGAGGGAAAATTGTTAGGTTTGCATGAATGATTGTACCAAATGATGTAATAGTTTTGGGGTGTTGATTTAAATATGTTTCCCAAGCCTGGGTAGGCTTACCTACCTATGGTCAAATGGCAAATGGGACTTTAATCATCATTGTATAGTTGAATGAAATATTAGTTCCTTATCCAAATTAGAGATGCAAAAAGTACTTTGCTGATTTTTATTTTAATTGGGACATTTCTTCTAAAGAGAGAATATAAGTAGTCTTTTAATTATGTTAAACGTGGTATTTGTCGTTGTCCAGACATCAGCCTCGTAAACTATGTGGTGGGTCTCTATAACCCACAGAGACTAGAGAAGAAATTGCTTGGGTAACTGAGCCCTTTTTCCTCTCCTTGCAGATAACTATGCGAAAAATCAGCAGCAGAAGAAATACCAAGAAGAGGCCATCCCAGCATTAAGAGATATTCCTATTAGTGAAGTAAACCGAATGTTCTTTCTTGCAGCCAAAGAACTTACACCCAAAACTGAGTTGTGTGTAGACTAGCGGCACACATTTATTATACGTTTTTGATGTAATAATTTTGACCATAATTATTTTGACTACCTCTCTTATTAATCCCTGGTGTTGAAATATAAAAAGATGTAAGCTGAACTTCTCTTAGGTTAAGTTTCATTAGTATTTAAGTATTCTCAAATATAAGTTATTAAGGAGAGAATAAATAAAATACTGCATTACCAAAATAAGTGTCAGAAGCAGCAGCAAGAAGTCCCAACAGAGAGACATTAACGTTGTAATTTTCAGGGGCAATTGTGTCCTCCCTACTGTTTGTTCTCAGAGGCCCAGAATTCAAACTCTTGGATTTGGGAGAAGGGTATGTTTAATGTACGTGTCCTTGCCACCAGTTTCATGTCTAAGACACAAACAAATATTTATTGAGTACTTACTGCATACCAGGCACTGAGGATGTAGCAATGATAAGATTCTCTCTCAAAGAGCCTACGTTTTAGAGACAGATTGAGAAAGACTAAGCAAATAAACAAGAAAATAGTATTTACTGGGTGCTATGCAAAGTTAAGATAGTATAATATTCTAGAATGTAAAGGGGTGACTGCTGTAGATCGGATGGTCAAGGAAGGCGGCTCAGAGAGGCAGCTGAGGTTGAGATTTGATTAGCAAAAACGGAGCCTGTTGTATAAAGATTGGACGGGGAGGGAGAGCTTCCAAGCATGAAGCAGCTAGGCCACACCCTCCGTGGGAAGGAGCTTGGTGTGTCCTCAAGACAGCAGGCCAGGGGGGGCCTAGAGCACACGGTATGTGGGTGTGGTCTGGGGTGAGCCTGGAGAGACCCAGCCCCAGCCGTGAAGGGCTTTGTAGGCCAGTGTAGGAAGTCTGGATTCAAGTGTCAGTGTGATGAGCTTGAGGCTCTCCAGATACTCAGCTCTTGGGAGGTTTTAGGGAAAGGTGTGACATGGCCTGATTTATCTTTTTAAAAAGCCACTGACGGGGCCGGCTCTGTGGCCGAGTGGTTAAATTTGCGCGCTCCACTGCGGCGGCCCAGGGTTCGGATCCTGGGCGCGGACATGGCACCGCTGGTCAGGCCACGTTGAGGCAGCGTCCCACATCCCACAACTAGAAGGACCGGCAACTAACATATGCAACTGTGTACAGGGGGGGTTGGGGGAGAAAAAGCAGGGAAAAAAAAAAACATTGGCAACAGTTGTTAGCCCAGGTGCCAATCCTTAAAAAAAAAAAAAAGCCACTGACAGTGTGTGAAGGATGGATTGGGGAGCGGGAGTTGAGGATGGGGCAAGAGTGGAAGTAAGGAGACCAGTCAGGAGGGTCTCGCATTAGTCCAGGCAGGAAGGCTTGCTGCTTAGAGCAGAGGGAGCAGTGGAGCTGGGGAGGAGCGGGGTGGCTTTGCAGCATCTGCGGGGGACACAGCTGACCGACTGGCTGCATGGATCCGATTGCGCAGGCTAGGCAGACTACTGAGAGAAGCTGTGATCAAGGGTCATTCCTAGGTTTGATGGCTATGCCTTTTACTGAGTCAGGCAGTATTGGGGGAGGCACTTGAGGGGGCTGGAGGATTTGGAATATGAATTAGTTTGAGTGACACCACCTTATTAATATCTGGATGTATCTCATATAAGATTAAGAAGCTTAGATAGAAATAGGTTTTAAAGAGCAAACATATATAACTTAGCAAGAGTAAACACAGTTGGCAAGTGGGACCAAATCTAAGCTTGTCTAGCACTCAAGGCCTTCTAACTTTTGACACCCAAAATCTCTACCCAGGAGTGGAGCCGTGTTTTAACTTATGTAAATTTAACCATACCTGCTGTAAAAAAAGAAAAAATGAAACTAATAATTGTAAATAGTTGGGAAAACTAGGACTTGCATTTCAGTACCCGTATCCCTGCCTAGTAAGCATGCGATGGATAACATGAATCTGCTATTCCTGTTCCCTAGTTTGTCCTAGTTCCTGTTTTTTCATAGCAAGAGCATGGCACATCACCACATTTAAGAGCAGTTTGAGGGGACCAGCCAACTCCATCAAGGGTAGAAGGGTAAATAAATTGTGGTCTGTTTATACAATGGAAAACCACACAGCCATATGCCAACAAGAATGAATTTCTGCTCCACCTAAAAACATGAATGAATATCACAGACATAACGTTGGGCAAAAAAAAAGCCAGACATAAAAGAATATATACTGTATGATTCCATTTATATGAAGTTCAAAATCAGGAAAGACCAGTCTATGGTGATAAATATTGGAATGGTGATATTAACCAAGAGGCGGCAGGAAGGAGCCTGCTGGTGCAGTGGAAACAGCCTACATCTTGATCTGGGTGGTGATTACCTGGATATAATATATTTAAAAAAAAATCAGAGTTATGGGGCCCAGCCCCATAGCCTGGTGATTAAGTTCGGTGCACTCTACTTCATCAGCCCAGGTTCAAGGGTTGGATCTCCAGTGGGGACCTACATCACTCATCAGACATGCTGTAGCGTCATCCCACATACAAAATAGAGGAAGACTGGCACAGATGTTAGCTCAGGGCTAATCTTCCTCACCAAAAAAAAAAAAAAAAATCAGTTAAATCATTAAGATTGGTGCTCTTGATGTAAGTTATACATCAGTGAAAAGGAAAAGAACTGCCTGTACCCCACCCCCAGAAATTCTGATTCGCTCGTCTGGAGTGGGGTCCAGGCGAGAGAATTTTTAATGTCTCCCTGACACACAACACGCAGCCAGGTTGAGAACTTCTGCCTTAATTGACTGGACTTAACTGAGTCTGTGGTCACCTAGGGGAGAGGCTGTTCACTTTGGAAGAGAAGGTGGCCATTGTCAGAGCTGTTCTCTTCCCACTTTTGCAAGACTCCTGACCAGGTGAACATTCTTCCTTTGCATTCCCCTAGGGCCAGTCATGGGCCCAAGAAGGTTTTGAAATGGGTCAGAAAAGGACCTTAATTAACTCCAGCACTGCACTGCACTCGAAACCTCAAATTAATGTTTCACTGTGCTTCCCGGCCATGTTGTCCTGATAGCTCATAAAAGGTGATGCCAATGTTTTTCAGACTGTGGGCTGCAATTCTTTTGAGGGTCGTGATCAGTTTAGTGTAGCGATTCTCACCTTTTTTTTTAAATAAATCTCAGGACTCCTTTATACTCATAAAGAGTGAGAGCCTGAAAGAGCTTTTGTGTATGCAAGTTATATTTAGAAATTAAAATAGAAAATTTTACTTTATTTGTTTATAAATAATAAACCCATTACATTGTAATATATTTAAGGTATTCTATGAAAAATAACTATAGTTTTCAGAACAAATTTAGCAAGATGAGTAGAATTGTTTTACATTTTTGCAAATCTCTTAAACATCTGGCTTAATGGAAGACAGCTGCGTTCTCATATTTGCTTCATTCAGTCTGTTCTAAAACCACACGTCACAAAGCCTCTGGAAAGCTCCACTGCATACTCATGAGAGAATGAGAGTGAAAAAGACAAATAGCATCTCAGTGTTATAGTGAAAATGGTCTTGACCTCACAGACCCCCAGAAACAGGGTCTCCAGACCACACTTTGAGAACCACTGGCTCGTGGGCCTCAACTAGCATGTGTGTATGTGTGTGTGTGAACTGAGCAGAACGCAGTATACAGAAGGCATTGCGCTCGGTAAGGGCAAATACCTTCATTAAACACCCCCGATGGCCACCTCAGATCCTCTCTGTTCCACATCTTATTTGACCAAGTCCACACAGGTGCCACTTGCCAGTGCACCTCGGGAGGAGGGGGAGTCAACACCCATAGGACACCCTGGAGCCCAGTGTGGGCCAGGCGCCAGTCCCCCAAGGAGGTGGTTGTGAGCATCATTTCCTGAGCTGCTCAGGCGGTCCTGTGAGACAGCTCGGTCACCATGGCAATAGTGAACTCCATAACGCACGCCTGCGTTGGCTCATCTGTCTTCTCTGTTTTATTCCTCTTGCTTCCCGCTCCTGCTCCCTGGTGTCGCTTTCCAAATAAACTGCCTACGCACGAGGCCTTGTCGCAGGCCCTGCTTCCGGGGGAACCCAGGCGGAGAGGTTTTTATTTTGTACGTTGTATTTCGATTACAGGGCCACGATGTAACTGCATTTCCCTACTGCATGTCATAAATTAAGAAAAAAGTTTGAAAGACACTGTGTTTTGCAATAAGCCCAAATAATAACATGAAATACTCCAAATGAAAAACGTCAGTAATATAAAAATGTTCCAGTTTTAACAAAACCTCCAGTAATGAGATTTTCAGTGAGAATTAAAAGTCTGAATATGAAATCACCTATGTGAAAAACCTACAGAATTCAGACCCAGAATTCTGCCCTCCTTGATTTCTTGACCTGCCCGGTTTTAGTCAGAAGGATCTCAATCAAGTGCCTGGGCTTCCTTGAGAATAGGTGCCACTCCTTAAGCAAATTGGTCCAACCCAAACTTTCTTGTATGTCCCACTTTTTTACAGAGTCGTCGGACACACAGTCATATTGCCAGCCCCACACCCGTGGAACCTAGAAAAGCCAACTAAATCAATTGCTACAGCCATTGCCCCAGAACCCAGGAAGGACAGTACAGACCCCCTACCAGCCAGTCACCGCAGTGCAGACTGGATGGAATGTGGGGAAAGGGAGGCAGAAAACAGAAGATCCAGAGGAAAGAGGTTCTGCCGGATTTGTCTTCACAGGATCAGGTCGGGCTGGGGCATTTGTCAAGGTTCTCAGTCCCTCAGTGTAAAACTCAGTGGGGTTAAGTGTGGAACCATGTACTACTTCGGAATGGGTACAAATTGACTTAGCCACCTTTTCTATTCTGGATAGTCTAAGTCAAAACACGACAAAGGTTCATTTTTCAAAGAACAGGACTTCGAGTTAGCCACTAATCTGAACGTGGCCACATAGATAAGGACAACTGATGTCTCAGTGCTCACCTGTATGGACTCATGACCGAGGACCAAATGTTCCCTCCCTCCCCCTCCATGCCTCATCACCACGTAAGTCCCCCTGTGCCAGAGATGTGATGGAAACCTCACAGGCCAAAGGAGCCACGGAGTCAGAAACGATGGCGTGATAGAAAATATAGTCGTAACTCTTGAACAAATGTGTTTGTGGGCCAAGATTTATAGCTCTTTCACACGATACAGGAGAAAACCCTCTCCAAAAACTCAATATCCGTCTCAGGCTATTTCTGCAAATCCAGAGTGTCCAATCT